TTTGAAATGGTGGACATTTACAGTACGTGTTCGCTGGATCAACTTTTTTCTATTGCAAATACCAGATTAGTTGAATTGGTTTCATTTTTGGTACTTTCAATCAAATATTATTTTTATAAATTGGCTATATTAGAATACAAATGTCTGTGATTGAAACCGCAAGTATAACATGTACAATGTGAGCTGTACCTTGTATGAATTTACACACATGACAACTAGCCATACAGTCACTAATTACCCCATATAAAGCGAAATACCTGTTGTGATCTCAATTAGATGATTGTAGGCATTACTAACGTCCTTATAGCAACGACTGTCCACTCAAGTCAGTGAAATAGAATGATACAAAGCAGTAAGTAAAGCAGAATATTATTTACTGCATTATTTGCAAGAAGAGAGAGGAGGTCATTAAAAAGAATAGAGAATTATGCTGTTAAAATAAGTCAATATGGCAGATAAAAACTAAACTATATAATATCCCAACACACACGCTCCTACTCGGATATATATACAATACTAGTGGTTTACTAAATATAATAATACCATGTAACTCCAACAATTTTAATATAAAATTCATTCATGTAATACACTTGAATATATTAACATTGTTAATACTTCTTAATGAGATACTGCTTAAAGTTATTTGGCGTCTATATAACTATGATGTAAACAAGTCACTGACAGTAAACTGAAACAGCCATTTTGAATCAGAACTTGACTGATGTACATGTGTAAAGGTTGATTAAAATTTGGAATTTTGAATGACGAAAACACTTGAATTTGATGTAAAAAAACATGCACCATAATAGCCTAATATTCAATCTATGAACCAAATTGACTATGCATGACCCAGATCCAGTTCCAAAATGTTGGAGATGCTTAATTTTCATCATTTTTAAGCTTTACACCACTATGTCATAATGTCTAGCTTGCATTATAAAATTGAAACATTTTCAGACAGTATACAATCATAAAGAGTAGACAGATTTAACACTTACTACTGTTTGAACAAAGTGCATTCTGTTTTCTCTCCCTCTTTTCACAAAGTTGAAGACATCAATACATCCCTCAGCCTTAGCCATTTTCAGCATAGAATCAATGGATATAAATGATCCAGTTCGACCAACACCAGCACTGCAGGAGAACAATCAAACATGTTATTTAACATGTCATATGTGTTTTATAAGAAACGAATACATGATATTTTTGATGTAGTAGACAAAGAGAGCATCTCATTTTAAACAAACAAAGCAGATTAAGCAAAGTACACAATAGCAAGTATAGGTAGACTGAAAACAGCATTTTATATTAGATGAAAATAATAGTTAAACTACACACGACTTGTCCTGTATATGTAAGGCAGTTTGATCATAGCAAATAGTGGGGATATAATTACATATGCGGGGCAGATCACAACATGGGAAAAATTATAGCATAGGGTGGGGGAAGGTCATCTATGCATACAGATGTATATAAGTTTGAT